TCAACTCCTATAATACACTATTCTCCAACTTGTCCTTTAGTAATTTTATTCTTTTTTTTTTATAAAATAGTTTATTGATTTTTTTACAGAGAGGAAGGGAGAGGGACAGAGAGTTAGAAAGATCGATGAGAGAGAAACATTGATCAGCTGCCCCCTGCACACTCCCCACTGGGGATGCGCCCGCAACCAAGGTACATGCCTTTGACCGAAATCGAACCTGGGACCCTTGGGTCTGCAGGCTGACGCTCTGTCCACTGAGCCAAACCGGTCAGGGCAGTAATTTTATTCTTAACAAGTGCTCCTCCAGACATGGTCTTAAAGTAGGCAAAATATTTAGAGCCATTGTCAGTTTTTCTTCTTAAGGGAAATGAGAAGTGATATAATTTTGATCTTTTATATTCCCAAATAAAGTATTCCTAGATTAATCTATTAAACAGGAACCCTGTAAACAGTCTATATAAATGACATTATTTGAATTTGTAATATTGCTGAGGAAGAAATTTGGAACTCTAAGACCTCTGTTGGATTGAGGTATTTAGTGAATAATCTTTTAAAAACCTGCATTCATGTTTCAGAGTAGCTATATAGTTTTCAAATATAATTATCTCATGAAGGATTTGCTTTATTACACACTTTATGGCAAAAATGATATCAAGTATATCAAGTGATTGTCAGACTTCAGGGCTCGTACATCTTAGGACATAACTCTCAAAGGTGTCATAGTTCTTTCTGTAGTTGGGGGAATAGTTGAGATTTTAAGGAAGCATATACATTTTGGACACAGTTCTAAATAAGGTCCTAGGTCAGTGATGGCGAACCTTTTGAGCTCGGCGTGTCAGCATTTTGAAAAACCCTAACTTAACTCTGGTGCCGTGTCACATATAGACATTTTTTGATATTTGCAACCATAGTAAAACAAAGACTTATATTTTTGATATTTGTTTTATATATTTAAATGCCATTTAACAAAGAAAAATCAACCAATAAAATGAGTGTCACCTCTGACACGTGTGTCATAGGTTCGCCATCACTGTCCTAGGTAGACCTTATTCTTGAAGGTTATCAGAAAGTAGGTTGGAATTTTGAGGCTTTGAAAGGATGAAGCATCTTGTCATAAATCTTAAAACCATCCAGTATTTTTATTTACCCTTAAATCTTCATTGCTAGCATCCTGTTTCATTCCACAATGCCTATCTCATTCCACTCTACTTTTTCTCAAAAATAATTTTATGTTTTAAAAGAATTTTTTACTTTTTACCATTATAATCACCACTTTTCCCCCTAACTAAAACAAATACTCAGGCCATTTTTATAATACGAAAATCTACGTTTTATGGCATGTGGTAGAGGCAGTGAAATGTAATGTTCTCAGATGTGTTCCATGACTGAGAACAAATACTATACTTAATCTATCATTTTGTAGCAGAACTTTAGCTGGCTAAGTAGAAATAAAATCTCTGAAATGAAACAAAGGAATCACATACCTGAAAAGTTATGCCAAGTAGTTACAGAATGCCCTTTTAAATGTTGGAGATAAGAAAGAAGCCAGTTATTCAAATGTGTAACCTCCTTCCCTTAGTTATAGTGACATTATTAAAATTGGGCTTCATAAAATGTTTCTTCATAGTATCCTAGTTCAGTTCAGATATTCAACATGAATTTTATCATTGTCTTAGATAGAAGGTCCTCCTTATAGAAATGTTCAGTACACATTCATCTGTGTTTTTCACATGTCAATAACACACTAAATTGAGTTTTAAAATGTTTTCCAGTTATTTTGATAGATATCATCATGGCATCTTTAATTGTTCTTTTCCTTCTATATGTAGGGTAAGGGACTGTTCTTCTGAAGAATCTTTCCATTTAGTGATCAAGATATGGAAGCTGAAATCTGAAAATACTCAGTATGCATTCTAATTGTTTGTGGTATCATTTGAATTGTAACATGCATTTTAGCAGCAATGTTCCCAATCAACATATTGGGGAAAATATAATAAAATATGCCACTTGTTACTATATTGTCTCCTGATTTTTTTCTTTGCTTGGTTATGTTAAGTTTTAAATTAAAGACACCATTTCTTACCTGATGTTTCTTAGGTGCTGTTTCACTGCTGGTCGCAGATGTGCTTCGAAAATTATTCTGTGCTAAAATATGATTGGGAACTGCCAGGTTAAATTAAAGTTAAATATTTACTTTAAAAGTTCTCAGAAGACATCTGATGTGCTATGTGAGTCTCAGTGATGAGGAAAGGTGTGGAAGAGAAGCTTACCAAACTACTCTGCAGAATCTGTCCTTTCACCGAACCTGCAGCTTGGAATCAGCCAATTTAGTATGATCAGCCTTTCAGACATCAAAACATTTTCTAAGCAACTAAGTGCAGAACATACACCAAAGGGAATTGTGTTCATATTTTCTTTTACATGTATTTTTAATTTGGCTTTCTTAGTAATAGAAGCATAATAAGCAATGAGATAACTCCCTTTCTGTAATGATTTAAATAAATTACTTTATTGCAGATGGGGATGCCTGACGCTTATCCTCAGTCTACTCACTCTTCATTTTCTTCTCTTAAGAAAATGTCTTCAATGTTTTAAAACAGTGAATAAAATATTTATGAGGTCCTGTGCATCTTTAACACATGCAAAGCAGGATTGGAGGTTGAAGGGCCGGTGTCTGGCTTTGTAGAATATACTTGACCACCAGGAGCTACCCGCCACCGAGAGGCCAGTAGACTAGTTTGGTTGAGCCTTGATTTTTAAAAGAAATGGGCTAAAAGGCAGTGGCTCTGGCTAGCCTTGTAAAGGCCCCGAGTGTAGTTTTCTACTTGGGCTGGCAGAAGATTAAGAGCTGTATAATTATCTAAAGTGGTTGACGAAGGCCATGAGATACTGTTTTTATTAGGGAAAGTAATTCAGAGTATTGGGTTGGGGAGGACATTGCTGCAAACCTTCAAGAGAAAAGCCATTTTCTACATGTGCTTTCTCTTAGTGATGAAAAAGAATTTCTCTGTTAAGATCCAAAAAGTTAAGTTTAGGTCTGGAGATCTAAACGTGGGAATTTATGAGCAAGCCAAGTTTTACATTTCCTGAACAGAATTATTTATTATATGTCTCTGTTACAAAGTTTTCCAAGTGTTTATTCAAAAATAATCATGAAAGTGTGTCTCAACAGGACTGGTAAATAGACAAATATTTGAATTTGTTTATAACTACATTCCCCTCATCCCATCACCCATGGTGAGTTTCTCTAAGTCGTATGTGTTGCCTATTTGAACCAAGTTGTTTCCCCCATCACCCTACAAAATGGACTTGAGGTGCCTACATGCACTTCCTACACACAACTTAGCCTCATTTTAGAGCTCAGTTTAAACGGAAAAAAGATTTCCTGGCGACTATATTTTTACTAAGTGATCATGATATTAAAATTATTTGTCTCTTTGCTTCATAATTGAAATCATCAATGCTGCTAATATATTTTAATGATCTGGAAGGTATTGCAGTAGCTCCTTTTATTTAGGTCTAATGACATCCTAGATCAGTGATGGCGAACCTTTTGAGCTCGGCGTGTCAGCATTTTGAAAAACCCTAACTTAACTCTGGTGCTGTGTCACATATAGACATTTTTTGATATTTGCAACCATAGTAAAACAAAGACATATTTTTGATATTTATTTTATATATTTAAATGCCATTTAACAAAGAAAAATCAACCAATAAAATAAGTTCGGGTGTCACCTCTGACACGTGTGTCATAGGTTCGCCATCACTGTCCTAGATAAAGTAGCCTGGTTGCTTCCAAAGAAAAATTTGCCCTTATCTTCCCTGTACACCTCCCTCCCTTCCCATCCCCAACATGCGCACGCACACGCACACGCACACAGTCCAAAGAATCAAAGCAGTCCTTTAGTGTATGATCAACTTCATGTAACTCCTGACAGACTGGTCTCTGATTACCACTGCCTCTAAAATGCTCCTCCCTACTCTCCTATAGAGAGTGGATTTAAACTATAGTTGCTCTCCTCAACATTTATTTGAATTATCCTTTTATTCATCTCATCTCTGCCACAAATATTCCATCTTATCTGGTGTGTGTGTGTGTGAGTGAGAATCCCTGACTGCCTTTGTGTGGGGTTTGGGGATGGGGAGAGGACTTTTACTTTTCATTTTTACCTTTGGGGGGTAATGTTTGGAGTTTCAATCGTGTGTGGCTTTATTTTAACATTTAAGAAAAACTAAACCATTCACTAAAACCAAAGCATCCCCCCCCCCCCCCCCAAAAAAAACTCTGAGCTAAGCATATTACATCAAGTTTTTCCTTTACAGTGTGTTTCAGAGTATGATCTGAGAACCACCTGCATTAAAATGATCTGGGATGTTTATTTTGTAGGTCCCAGGCCCCACTCCCAAAGATTCTGTTTTTGTAAGCCTGCAATTGAACTCTACTTTTTTGTGTTCCTGATTCTTAGGTACAGTAAGTGTCAATCCATAGTTTCCCTTTTTACCAGTTAATGAGTTAAGCTTTAGCTTAGTTTCAACTAGCCAGGGTTAAGACTTACAGCAACAAAGAGCCGGGGTCGGGGGTGGGGGGATTTCATTACATGAAATTCTGGCTTCTCTGTGGACAGTGACTTTTTTCCCATTTTTCCTTGGACATTTAAAAACTATTATATTTCAGTGGAAGAGGGTTGTTTCATGCCTAAACCTACAGTTAGGCCCCAAAAAGAATCAATCTTATTTTCAAATAAAAAGGGCGTGGGAAATGGAAAGTTTCTAAGAAGTCATAGGAGAACCATGAGGATCTTGTATATTAACAAAACAGCAACTTCCTTAGCATTTAATGGCCAAATACCCAAAGGATAGGTCAAAATAATAGAAGAGATTGTGGAGATGGGAAGGGAAAGAAAAAAAGATAACAGAGTGGGAAGAATTTTTTAAAATCACTGATAGAGATAACTAACTCTTACGTGTGTATAATAGAACACAAGGATAATTATAGCAACAAGTCAATTATGCAATTTATTGATGGAATTATACTGGGAAACAATTACAACAAAAGAACAATCTTTTGAGTAGAATAGTTTACTAAGCGAAACATTTTGAAACAACATGCAAAAGATTTTCCAATATGTCACCTTGGGTTGATACGTCACCAATCCCAGCAGTGATTTCCACAGGTTCTGCTCCATATCACATCAAGTAGTGTGTGTGTTTAATACCTGCATCTCGAAATGATGAATCATATTTTAGCTGGGCTTCTTGAAAGATTTGCTCATATAGAGATGTATGGGGGGAAATGTTATTTTTGCTCAATGGGTGAGCACTTACCCTTAGCTCTAAATGAAGGTGATAGACAGTTTAGATTCTGAATATAGAATGGCCTGTTCAATGCTATATGTTTTCGGTAAAGTTTCTTTTTGGTCCTTGGTGCCCTCATTTCTTCCCTCTGATTTTCAGAAAAAGACAGAGGTATAGGTGAAACTGGTATTAGAGACCTTGGTGGCAGACAGGGTCTTGTTGAGACCACTTTAACCAGTGATTGAGTTGACTGGGCAGTAGTAGCATTGGTTGAGAGTTCTTGGCATGGATTTAAAATGGAGCTTTGGGGATTTTTAAAGTCATCATAAGTTGCCACCAATTGTTTTGTTGTGGATGAACTTTTTAGCGATGGTGGTCTAGAATTCCATTTATATTTGCCAGCACTGCTCCAATTCCATTGTGAAGCATTTTGTTCAAGCTTGCAAGAAGCAGAATTCTTTTTCCTTTTTTCTCTAGTTTTATCTACACAAGTTGTCTGAAGACTTACAGAGTCAGAAAGTTTTGGCTGTCTCGTTTTGGGTATAGTTTTAGAGGAAAAGGGTCGTTCACTAACTGCTGGAGTACAGAAGGTAGTTTGTAATCTTGGCCTCTCTTTTTGTATAGTAGTATGTTGTAATCGTTCCATTTCTAATAAACGAGTTATCAAAGGTTCAATACAGCTTTCTGGAGATTCCACTGTTGCTTTCCAATTTTCAGATTTTGAGAGGGCTAATTTGTGCAAGTCCAGAGTATTGAAAGGAGGAGGGAGAAAATCAGGATATGGAAATACTTCACTTGGTTCTTCTGTGAAAGATTCTTCAACATTTTCTATTGTTTCTGGCTTTAAGTTCAGGTCCATCTTTTTAAAACAGCTGAGTAAAGTATCATTTGCTTTTTCATTTTCTGATAAATCACTTTCATCTGTTAAATTTTCTTCTACACTGCTGTTCCTATATTTCAAATTCCAAGTTGGAGCAGATAAAGTTTCACCATTCTTGTTTTCTACAGTTGAACATAAATTATTAAGAGAGTCATTTCTGTCCTTAAAAAAATCTCCATCAGCATAGGGCCAGCAGAGACCTAATGGCGTCAGCAGTTCAGAGTAAGAACCAACTTGCTTATCAGCTGGAGCACTTGTTAGTGAGTGGTTCAGAGTGAAGAGCCTTATGGGATTGTTGGTTGTATTAAAGCCAATTTCCATTGAAGGTTTTTTGAAATCCCTTAAAAATGATTTAATTAATGAATGGCTTGTTGACTATAATTAAAATGCTATTAAATGATAACATGTAACCTTTATCAAAGACTACTTAATGTTTAGTTCCCAATGGCATGTGCATATCTATCTAAACAGAAATATGCTAATTTTCAAATATGCTCTAATTATAAACTCTATACATTTTAAAAGAATTAAAATGTTAACTGGGCATCCCCTTGTGCATACACAGGTTATGAGATCATTGTAACCATTACAAATGGTTAACTGTGGCTATGAATGGCCATAGGTTAAAAGTGGCTAATTCTATCTGTTTGCCTGTGACTATATTGAATATGCAATTATGCTGTCTGAAAAGGAGGCTATATATAACTCAAACTGAAATTATAGTGAAATGTTTATTGACTCAGAATTAGATAAAAGGAGACTAAGAAATTAGTTAGGCTACTTAATAACGGATTCTACTTTAGCCATTATGGTTTTTAAAAATTATTCTAATAAAAAAAAAGAAAGCAAAGCAATGTCAATCAAACAAAAATTACCCCAGATATAGTTCATAGTAATTTTCATCTGATGGTGCTCTTTTGCTTTAGGAGTAAATACTTCCGGGTTTTATGTTAAATCGAAAACTGCAAAAAAGCCAGGCCATAGAATACTGAGTTTAGTTTGTAGTTAGTTTTTGTTAAAGCTTATTAGAGGAAAAACCAAGATGGCGGCATAGGTAAACACCGGAAATTGCTGCCTTGCACAACCACTTCAAAAATACAACTAAAAGATAAAACAAACATCATCCAGAACCACAGGAAGGCTGGCCGAGTGGAAATTCTACAACTAGAAGGAAAGAGAAAAGCACACAGACTCAGAGGAGGTGCGGAAGTAAAGTGCAGAGGTACGGAGGCGCACGTGGAAAGGGCTGGCAACTGAGGACGTGGTTGTCTTTTTCAATCGGGAGGGAGTCTCAAGCTCCCGACTGCTCTGAACTCCAGTTCCGGGCGAGTCTCTGGGAACCAGACTCATACTGGGAGAAACTGGACTGTCTGACATCGGTCGGAACTCGAGGGCGGCTTTCTCTCAGAGGTGCTTGCAGCGATTACCGGGACACTGAGACTCGGGGCCCCTTAGGGTAGGACTGAGGATCAGCCATAGCTGTTTGCTCCGCCCTGTTGATTCCCTGAGACCCCGCCCCACCCAAGCTGTGCACAGAGGCTTTTGCATATGAATGCCCTGGCCCTTTGCAATCTGAAAATTACCTAACAAACTGCAGCTGGGTCAGAGAGACCCAGAACTTCCAAAAGAAGGCCCAAGGCCCCACAGCAGCTTGCATTGCTTCACAGCTGGGCCTCATCTGGGCACCTC